GTAGGGCTGATATCTTCTGTAGGTTCAGGTAATAATTTACTCCTTGTCCAATTCCATTCTTTTTGCCTGCCAGCATCGTCTTCTGACCACATCACTCAACTCCAGTTTCCCTGCTAGGTTGACTCCCACTCCTTGGGTCAAATAGCTCTGTACTTATCTCTTACAAGGATCATGTAATTATATCTAGGGCACATGTGGCTAATTCACAATTGTTGTCCCATGGTATTTACAGCAATGAAATAGTACTCAGCCATAAAAAAGACAAACTTGAGTCACTAATAAAAAAGTAAACATAAGACAAAATGCATAAGAGAAGAGGAATAAAAAAGAAAGGAAAAATGAGTCCAAATCTAGCTGCACACTGAGGTGTTGGATTGGTAAGATTCCCTCCCAGGACCCATAATATTGGAATCCACGAGGTACAGGGGGGCTGTAGTAGATCACACCTGGAGCCCCTTGTATTTGAGGTGCTTCAGGAATGCTGACCCTTCCCCACCTTTCCAGCTAGGTGGGGCCGTCAGTGGTATGTGGTCCATTTCTGTGCTGTGTCCACGCTAAAGGCTTTGTTTCCTCCTCTGCACTTGCATTCATTGCTGCCCGCAACTAGCTTGTGGGGTTGGGCTGCTGGGTTGCCCCACTCACTTGTAGGCTCAGAGTCCCCTTATTTGCACGCAGCATGACAAATGTCCAAGGAGCGGTGTTTCCCTGAACAAGTCAGTCAGTCCGAGTTTTCTGCCGGAGGGAGGTAGTAAGGGGAACCAGACCATAGGCTTGACTAAATTCAGGAGCTTTCAGAAAACCACAGTATGATGGCCCTTTATTCTCGCTACAGAGGCTGATTCTACGGATCACTGTTCCCTCCACAGCCTGAGTTCCCGGCTGCGTGAAGGACTCAGAGAGAGGACAACAGGTACAGGAGTGAGGTGCTTACAGCAGTCGAGAGGACCAAGGAAAATCAAATCTCTGTTTAGAATCATTATGATGTTAGGAACTCTCAAGCTTTTGAAATTGTTGAATCAAAATAAGCATGTTTTGTTTCTGGCCTTTTAAAGATACTATGAAAGAGACAATTTTTTAAAATGAAAATCTGGCAACTGAGTTTTTAAATGAAAGCCTTGTTGTTTCAGCCTGACTTGCCCCCACGTCTCTAGTTAGTTGTCTCACGATAACCAGATTGCAGGAGAATTTGGGTGTTTGTATGGGAATCGAGCTGAACACTAGCTTCCAAACTTAGGAAGCTGTTCTATTTTTATGGGGGTTTCTTCCATATAATATCTCTGTGTTGTTGCTTAACAATATGTCTTGATAATACCGTAGACCACATATGAAAAATGTTTGAGAGGCGGTGACGATAGTGTAAACTTTCATAGCACGGGCTCTTTAACAGCCAATGGTCTAATTTCCTCATTGGCTTTATCTCATTGTTTCATTCGGAAATCATTTATTGTAAAGTCTCCAAAAATTTCTAAATGTGTTTTCTTAAACACTGTGACATCTTTCTCATGAAAATTTATTTAAATCAAACAATATCTTCACCACAAAATTTTAATAGACTTAAGAACACTGTTGATTTTATAAGATTTCATTAAGCTGAAAGTATAAATCTTACATTATTTTAGTCATAAAACAAGAAAGTGACCAAGACATAGGGTGAGAAAAATTTTTTCTTCACTCTTGTGAATTCGTAGGATAAATAAAATGATTCTTACAAATGTAGTTCTGAGGAGTTTTGCAATGTTCAACCATATATAGTTCCCTTGATCTGTAAGATAAACAAGCTTATATTTCAGCCCTAGAAACATAAAACGAAAAACAAAACAAAAAAATCTAATAGTTGTCAAATCCCAAAGACAATCGATAACTTTCATTTTATATAGGCAGTTTGAAAAATATAACATTTAGGTGACAATATAATTTCACTAATTTCTATCACTTGATGACACAGATAGGTAAAGTGTTATTAAATTGAAAAGTTAGTGGTAGGTAATAGAATCTTACTTAGATAGTCATTAAAATTTCAACTAAAAACAGAGTCTAAAAGGAAACCATGTCAGTCATCATGGTGATAAAGGGAAAGAGACATACTAAAAATGAGTAAGAAAAATAAAAATCTGTGAGTAGGGTAGAATACAGCACAGTGTATAGCACTTGCCTCCAATGTGTGCTGTCCAGGGATAGATCTTTGGCTCTGCAAAACAAAATAAAATGAAGCAACAAACAAAACCCCTGTGAATAACAGTCCTAGTCAAAATTATCTAGTGGGGTCAAAATATGGTTAGGCTCCACCGTCTCTCGGTTCATAATGAGAATAATGGGAAAAACCAGGAGGACCTCGTCATACACCCAAAACTAGAAGTTAGAACTCAGAGAATAATGTGGTTATTGACAGACTTTACACCATGGCTTGTGTTGCAGAGGCCATGTGAGCTCCAAAAAAGTAAAGTTAGAGTTTAATGTCCACTGCCTCAAAATATGACTGTATTTATGGATAAGGTCTTTTAAGAGGTGATTCAAAATGAGGTGATTGCAATAAGGCAATCTTATATGTAGCTGATACCTGCGAGAGAAAGTTTGGACATTCACAGACAGGTACAGAGGGACAACCGTGGGAAAACACAAGAAGAAGAGAAGGCAAAGAGAGGCCTCAGAAGAGAAACAAACCTCACAAAGCCTTGATGCTGGATTTCTAGCCTGCAGTACTCTTCTGAAATAAGTTTATGTTGTTTAAGTCGCCTGTTTTGTGTACTTGTGATAGAAAGAAACCCTTGAGTATGAATAGGTTTTGGAATGAGGAGTATGGAACCTAGAGTTCCTAAAAATCTGCAAATGGTTTGGGGAATAGATAATGAGAGGTTGTAAGAGTTTTTGAAAGGCCCACCCATTAGGAAAAAAACAAAGATCTCCCTTAGGAAAATATTGGTGGACATATAGAAATCTATATGCATCTGGGAAGTCCTATGACGGAAATGAGAAGTACTGTGCGTTATCTGACACAGGAGGAAAGGCAATGATGGTAATCAAGAGGCAAGGAATTCGGTTGATTTTAGTATTTTATGGGAAGTAAAATTCGAAAGTGAGAAACTTGAACATTTAGCTGAGGTGAGATCTAGGCTCAATGTGTCCTATGCTGGTTTCTCCTTCTTGGTATATCAAATTTTTCACCAGAAAGATAAATTTAAAAAGGGACTGTTGTACAAGTGGACCCAAAAGTAAAAATTTGAGATCTCAAACTATCCATATGATAAAACGAGGAAGCATGTCTGAAAGGAACAGCAAGGGCATGGCTAGAAAAGTGTTACTGAAGAGATTCTGACTGTGATTCCCAGATCCCATCACCCATCTCAGCAGAGGCCAGGAACAGAGAGGCAATTGCACAGGAAAACTTGTATAGAACACTTTCCATTTTGGTACGAAGGATCGAACTCGGAACCTTACGCTTGCAAAGCAGGTGGCAGAACTACTGAGCTAAATCCTTGGCCAGAACCTTCCATTTTGTAGCTGAAACCTTTGTAAATTGCTTGAAAGAACATTGAGGCTTGGGAGAATTTAATACCAGCAGAAATAATTACCAGATTGGACTGAAAGAGACCGAGTCAGGATAAGATAAAGTAGATAATGCTGTCGGATATCTGGTATTCCATAGGACAAATCAAGGGAGACATCATACAGCTACCAGGATGTGTTACCCTTCAGGAAAATGACCTGAGAGGGAGTTCTGAGGGTGTTGGGGCTGCCACTGCCAACCACTACCCAAATGCGGCGGGGGGGCTCTTTGTTGATTCCAGATAATGGGACCTGAGTTCCAGAGGGCAAGACCATGTCCTCAGGCAGCAGAACAGGCCACCACAGGAGCAGGATGTGAGGACTCTGCCCCAGTGGGCTCAGAGGGTGGCACACTGACGTGAAGAGGATTATCCTGCTGACTTCAGAACCAGTGCCCTTGGCCCAGTAAGTTTCAGGACTTATCAGTGCCTATGTTCTTTCTGAGTCTTGCTCTTGGAGTGGGGATGTATGTTCCATGTTTTTCCCATCTCCTGTCTTGGAAGCAAATGACCTAGTTGGCTTCACAGACTCAGCTGGAGAATTTGGTCGCAGGATGAGTTAGAATTCAAGTTTACCCACATCTGATTTAGAAGAGAGTTCAGTGAGACTGGGGGCTTACGGGATGATGAATGGGCTAAAACTGGAGCTACTGGGATGATGTGAATATCTTTTCATGTGAAAACTATGGAGTTTGAGGAGCCAGAGGGAAGAGTATTATAGATTGAAGTGTGTCGCCTAAAAATTTATGTGCTCAAATCTTTACCTTCAGTACCTCAGAAAGTATTTGGAGATATAGTCTTTTTAAAAGTAATGAGTTAGGGCTGGGGATTTAGCTCAGTAGTGCCACCTCCTTCCTTGCAAGCTCAAGATCCTGAGTTCGATCCCTGGTACCACATATAAATAAATAAAATAAAAGTAATGCATTAAAATGAGGTCATTAGGATGAGATCAATCCAATATGGCTAGGGTCCTAGGCAGACGAAGATGAAATATGGTCAGAGTGTGCCTGCCAAGAACAGAGGGAGACACCATCTTGCTGACCTCTTGTCCTTAGACTTCTAACTCTCACAACTATAAAAAAAAATTTTTTTGTTTGCACCACTCAGCCTGTTGTCATTTATTATGGCAGTGTTAGAAAACTCATGTGAGGGGCCGGGGATTTAGCTCAGTGGTTCTGCTGCCTGCCTCGCAAGCGCAAGGACCCGAGTTCAATCCTCAGTACCAAAAAACAAAACAAAACAAAGAAAACTCATGTGGTTTGTAAACAAGTCTCAGGAGAGAGCAGATGGAGAAATTAAGTAATGTGATCACCTTCTACAATCCACATTTCTGTATATGGGACTGGATTAAAATTACTGTCTCTTTCCCAAGCTCCCCAATCGTCCTTGAAACTATGTCCTAGGTACTGTTTATTCGTGTTTCTGTGAGCAAATGCAGTAAATATCTCAGGGAGATACTTATGTATCCTGGGGTAGAACTGAGTTATTTTCCCAATACCATTGATTTTCAATTTTCTTATAGTAAATTCCAGTCCAGAAGAAAGACTTCAAGGAGAAGAAATTCTGAAAGTAAGAAAGTACACGTACATGTAAAATATTCTTTATTATGTTTTTAACAACTGCATGAAAGTACATTTAAATAATTCAAAGTTATGTGTGTACTTGGATTCCATCAGTACACAAAGTCACCAGTATGTTCTATGGTGCAGGGATATTTTAGATGCTGGGGATGTCAGGAAAAACACAAAAGTCTTGAGTTAGCGGGAGATACAGAAGATAAATCCTCATAAGAAGCTAGTGCCAGTTAGGGGGAGAAAGGAGGAAGCGTTTGAAAGAATAATCCCTCATAAATTTCTTTTATTTTTTTGTTTTGTTTTGTTTTTGGTAGCGGGGATTGAACTCGGGACCTTGCGCTTGCGTGGCAGGCGGTGGCACCACTGAGTTAAATCCCTGGCGCACCTCATAGATTTCTTGGAGATTAATTTATATCTAGTGACTCTCTTCTTATGCACATCATTGAAATAATCTCCTGTATCGGGGAATTCACACAGTGGGTACTGGAATCTGATGCTGATGCACTCTCCGGAGGTCAGAGCCGGCCCCCAACACACCTGCTTCTCCCATGGTGCTGCACATCCTGATAAACTGGTCCCATGATGGTATCAGCTTCTGGACCGCAAATACTATACCGCCTTGGTGCCGGGCCACACCAGGCTCTTTTCTCTGTCTGAAATATTCCTTATAATAACTGCTGCTTTCTGAATTTGCTAGTTATACATTTTTTCACAAAGGGCATCCCCAGTTTTATTTCAAACATTTCTATCTTTTGTGCACAACGCACAGACCTAGTCTGTATCTTGCATGTGGAAACTGAAACAAAAGTTAAACTAGTTTGATCTGTTAGACGTTTGTCCAGTGCTGAACTTGGGCAAATGCAAGTGTCCCTCCTCGGCCTCCTCCAGTCAGTGTCACAGATCTCACCCAGCACTCTGACACTCAGGTGTCAACTTACTGTCTCCTCTCTGTTTATTTTCACGAGGCTGGCGTTGAGAGACGAGCAGGCACGCAGACTGTTGTTCCAAGCTAGCTTCTCCGTAGAGAAGTAATAACAGCTGCACCTGAACCAGACCCAGTCCTTGGGACACGGCTGATGGCCAGGACCAAGACAGAGATGCACCATCCCTGCACAAAGAGATTCACAGCTCTGATTCTGTCTGTTGCTTGTCTAAATCATGCCACGCACAGTACACTTTATGATGTTATAGCAATAGTAACGATAACAAAAATTTACTTAAATTAAAGTTATGAGTGGGAAATACAAACCTCCTTGTTTTTTAACCTGTTGCTACTTTATAGACTGGTTATGCAACACAGTGCAGGAAACAGGGGAGGAGAAGGGGTGAAGGGAGGGTGGGGAATGGGGAAAAAATAAGAACCAACACATATCATGCAAAGGCGCAAGATCCCAGTGATCCATGCGACTGTTTTTTTGTTTGTTTGTTTGTTTGTTTTTTTGTTTTGTTTTTTTTGGGGGTTTTTTTTGCTTTAAATGTACCAATAAACTTAACAGGGGGAAAAAAACATAGTACAGGTCTGGAAGTATAATTCAACTGAAAAGCTGAACCATAATTTTCTTACCTCCAGTGTGTTAATACACTTGGGAGGCTTTAAACATCTTCATGTTACACAACCATTAGATTAATTTGTTTGTTAAAATTTTGCCCTTTTAACATAAACTCTACCTTTCCAAAGTTAATTTTCACATCAATTCTATTGCCCTAAAACTTATGGGGTCTAACAAGTATGTCTAAAAGGAACTTTTCTCTGATATCGTACTTCAGTTAGTTACACATACATATGTGTCATATTAATTAATATCTGGAAGCATGACTTATAATCTCTGTAGCACATATTGAAGAAGTCTGCATAAAATGCCTCTATGTTTGTAGAACTTAAACAATAGATACCTTTTCTGCTTATATTAGTGTAAGAAATCAGGCTACAAAGTCACTACCTACCTTCTTGCTGAATTGTAGGAAATGTTGCTTTGGGAGATGCTAAAAGAAAATTGATATCATATTATATTTGGCTCCATATTGGTGTATCAAAATGAAATACTAAGATGCTATATTCTATAAGAACAAGTTAGCTATTGTATAGAAAATTTTTAAAAATTTGGTAGTCCTAGCAATTGAATCCAAGTCTTTGTATATGCAAGACAAATGCTCCAGATTTTGGCCACATCTCCAAGCAAGGAAAATTTTTTCAGACAAAACTATTGTCAGTATAATCTTTGATTACCTTATTCTATGAAATAAATAATTCTCCAGAGCAGAAAACAATTTAAAGACTATATTTACTCACAGCTTGCAGTAAAAACAGCCGCTATGATGGTTCCTGCCATCAGGAGAAGGAACTGGACACCAAGTACACTAGAAATGAGCTGCCAGGGCAGATGTGAGGAATCCGCTGAGAGAGAATCGAAACCAAAGCAGACAGAGTGAGAGCAAGAAGACAGGCTGAATAAACAGAATGATTACAGAACATTTTACAGTCAAGAATGCATTAAATACTTGGTCTTTCTTGATTCTCTTTACAAGCATACAAAATATTTTTACCCAATTTTTTATAGTAAATAGTGAGATTTTCCTGAAGACATACACCTCCTGAAGGGTGCCCGGCAAACCAGGGCATCAGGACCATTTTATGGACAGGGTTTAGTACTCTCAACATAAAAACAGTGCTAAGCAATCAATGGGAGAAATATAAAGACCTTAATAGAAAAATAGGTTAAGAACATGTGCAGATAATTCTCAACTTATATAATAAAATAATGGAAGTGAAAGGCTCACTTGTTGCATAGACTGTTTGCCTAACTAATCAGTTAATGGCAGAACTGAGTTCTAGAAGGTTCTCAGCAGCCTGGAGCTCATTCACACCTAGAATCTCAAACTTCACCTTGAATCCCAGAGACATTTGACAATGATTTCATTCTTGGCAAACCATTTGGGTTTGTTGTTGTTGTTGTTTTTGCCACCAGAATTCTTTTTCAAATGTTTACTACTGCCCTTATACAGTACTACCTCCCCGATGAGAAATGCGCAAAAATAAAAAAATAAAAATATATAAATGAGGTTCCTGTGCAGGGAACAAATCAAAGCCTTCACTTTCATTTCATTGCAGTTTTGTCTTTAACTAAAATCTCTTCAGGGTTTAAACTGGTTGAATTCCTGCTATCAGGTCAGTTACTTTTTACTTTCTTCTCTCTCTGGCAAAAAAGCAGAATTCTAAGAAGCCTGACTTTGGAGAACAGAGCATGAAACAAGATGGAACTGGAGAAAAAAAGCTCTTCCAGGCTCCCTATGCTCAGCCAACTAGCTGGATATTTATGACTTCTCATGACTTTTGATCAAATTAAGACAATTAAGTTGTTAACTTGAAAATTCAAGCTGTTCTTTCCTCCCTTCTCATAGGGCCTATATCAACTGTGAGTTCCTACCAGGAAAAACAGCCTCCACAAGGTAGATGCTTGGGGATTCAAGTGCAGGAATTTGAGTGCAAACCCTTCTGTGAGATATATAATCTTAGGAGGGAAGACAAATTATATTTGTAATTGGAAAGTTTTCTAGGAAAAGGTCAGTTCTTTTCAAAGCAAGCTATGTGAATACATGGAGCACATTTTTTTTAAAGTGGCTGCAGAAATTGTACTAGAATTTCTCTAAGCCGTTCTAGAGTGATGTGGAAAACAAGCGAGTTAGGCTAAAATACGAATTTTTGAACCTTACAGAACTCACTTCACTTTTAATTAAAAGCAAATAGTCTTAATTAGTAAGGTTGATTTCAAAAGTGAGAATTCGAACAGATGTCCCTGAGACACAGTGTAATAAAAGTGTTGAAAGAGAACATGATGCCCGAAAATACAAAAACAAAAACACTCACTAAGAAAGAAAATAGTTGACAGCAGTAATCCTTACAACCTCCTAGAACTACAATACACAACGTACATTTTGCTTTCTTTCTTTCTTTCTAAGTAAATATTTAAAGTCTAGTAAACATTCAGAAATACACACATATCATCTTTGGTTGAATTTTCAGTTTGAACACAAATGTTCTCCACCCGAGTCACCCTTACAGACCAGCAACACAGAGAATCCCCACTACCCACTCCAGTGTCAAAAGGTAACTGCTATCCTTACTTCTGTTACTACTAAATCATTTGTTTTAAATTTCAAGCACATAAATTCATACCATATGTGGAAATTTTTTGTTATATGATTTAAATAGAAAATGAAATGCAAAGAAAATCTACATACCACAAGTCAGATAGATGTACACAACTGATAACAGTATGGTAAGTAAGCTCTAAATTGTATACTGTACTTTAAAGCCTTGCTTAATAAACATGCATTTGCTTAATGAATACATAATGTAATTATATTCTATAATCTTTTTCCTTTAGAAGTACAACATTTTCTTGGAATTTCCTTTACCAGTGTAGAACAAGCTTAATAAAATGTTTATGGTTTTGAAAAAATAATCTAAGGAAACCTCCATGGTTTATTTCTGACAGCAATAAATAAAACTGCTTCACAAGCTAGCCAGGCTCCCTGGAAGATGCCATCTCTTTCCCAGAGTGCTACGTTTGGAAAAGCCATGTCTGCAGCAGTCAGGCTTAAAGATCCAGAAAAAGCCACCACCTGCAAGTTGGGAGTCATATTCACTTATTAAGCTTTACCTGCAATTTAACTTCATCTTTGTTAATAGCCAGTCTGAGGTCCACATTTGAGAGAAGTGTAATCATCTTTGCTTTTTTCAGGAAATAATGACATAGAAGATGGTAATGTAAGCTTGGTGACGTGAGCAGCTTCTCATTTACTTTGCATTCTCTGGGTTCCTGAATGACTTGCCTAATCCCCGTCCGCTATGCAGTTGTGTCTACTAATTCATCCACATGTTGACTTCCTTAACTCTATAACAAGGTAATCCATTTCCAACCTGTCATACTTATCCAAATTGTACTCTTCAGTCAAGTCTAAATCGGTGATCACCATCATCCTGTAGTGTCTAAAATATCCAAATTACCTTTTAAATTATTTATAATATTGACCACTTGGCCTTTGTGATAACATTAAATTAAATGACTTGTATATTTCCTAGCTAATAAAGACTTTATATTTTTGCATCTCCCTATGCATAACACAATTCAGTACTAAATCTTAAAACATTCCCTTCATGTTTACAGTATTATACCTTTGCTGGTGATATCTCCTGCTGTGGTTTTGTGCTTTTTATAATGTTTGTGGTGTTTTATCTCCTTCTTGGTGACTGGCAATACTTTTGAACTACATTCATTTCTAATATCTTTTTTTCTTGTGTGATTTGCCTCAAAGTTCTTCTTTAGTGCAGGGAAAGTTATGGGTGCTTCATTCATCTTTACAAAGGAAAAACCTGTGAGATAAAGAGCACAGGTATCAATATGCCATTCTGTAATTTGAGAAGGTATATTATAATAAACAGGGGAAACGGTAATTTCAAAAATCTGTGCTGAATAGAAATTCCCAGTATCTTTCCTGGATGCATGTTCTCAACACTTTAAAGCTTCCAATATGTGAAAATACACCACAAAAAACTTAAGAACATAATAACCCTAATAAAGTTTGAGGCCACTGAACCAATTACTGTAAGAAAGCATTGTCTTTAATAAAAAATGTAAAAATCAATGTGAAACCAGAGACGAATTAGTTCTCTCTGGCATCGTGGCGGTTTGCATCTTGAAATTGTACAATATGAGATGCAATTTTCTGCTCAGGTGCTGTGTTTATCAGCAATGCCCCCTAGGAACCACTACACAATTTGTGATTAGAGCCCTGGGCTGATATTGGCCTTTCTCTGTTTTCCTAATAGGCCTAATGAACCAGCCTCTTTTGTGCTTGTAGGACTTAAATAAAACTGTCCTCCACTTATGCACAGATTCTGTTGTCTTACTACCTTGTGTCTATGCTTTTATAGACCCACTTATTATTAAAAAGTACATAACTAAGACAGACTAAATACCAAAATATCTAAAATTCACAGTTTGAAGAATTTCTTAACATCTGTTCTCAGTGTCAGAGCTGGCAAGACATTGATCAGGAGAAAGTCACTTACCACTCAGAGTTTAAAATTTTCCAGAGAATTTTTGTTAGGATTTCTAGACTTGCGGTGAAGATTGAAAAGATTAAAATTAAGCAAAACTTTGAAATCTTGAAGAAAGAAAATACATTACAGTTAATGTTTTTAACTGGAAATGTCTATCAACAGAGATAGCCCTTCAAAATTTTCTATTGATCATGTTTCAAAAGTTGCAGTGAAGAAATTATGTTGCAGAAATGAGAAAATATACCTGCGGTGAGGAGGAAATTCCAGGAACAAGTCATAAAAATGCAGTATGTGGGAATCCAAAGATGCAGGAACTGCTCTCTTAGAGCAGAACTGGAGGCTACAGAACTGGGTAGAAAAGTGCCTGCGATGGCCCTTTTTATATTCACCAGCAGGACTCCGTTGATTTCCTCTAGCATCCCACTAGGGGGCTGAGAGCACTGACTGATGCAGCTGAGATAACTCATTGCATTTCAAAGTCTGGTAAATAAAAGACTTTGCCAGCAATAGGAAAATGTTTCTGAAATCGAATATTTCTTCCCAATGTATACATCTGCACCAAGATCCTGCTCTATCTGTGTCTCCAGAGCCACGAAACTAGATTGAGTCACTGAGTCATGACAGCATTAAAAATATATACGATTGTGTGTCATCGCGTGTCCTTTACTGCTGGGGATCTGTTCTGAGGCAAGCAGAATCAGGCCGTTTCAGGCTTGTGGAAAATTCTAGCAGGACTTACACAAACTAAGACAGCTTCCCATACTCTTCACTGTTGACCAAAGCATACTGAAGCTCGCTTTAGACTTTGCTTCTGATCAGTTTCATCCCATTAATGATTTATCAGAAATGAATTTTTTCCCTTTAAGTTTATTGGCACATTTAAAGCAAACAATACTGTTACATTTATCCTTGGGATCCTGTACCTTTACATGATACGTCTTGGTTCTTGCTTTTTCCCCATACCCCTGCCCTCCATTCACCCCCTTCATCCTTCCCCCTATTTGCAGAGACTTTGTTTCCATTTTTTTCTTAAGAAATGAATTAAAACAGTAACTTTTCAAAGGTATCAATTCATTGATACACATAAACCACTGATTTTCTCATAATTATCCTAAATGCAAAAAATGGATGAAAGAAGAAATAGAAAACTAGAGACAGAGAGACAAATAGATTTACTAGTGTGGCTCCAGTAACAAAAGGATGCTTGACATATAGTATAGTTTAGTAAATATCTGTGGATTCACTGAAAGAATAAATGAAATAACTGTCTAAATACATATTTACTAATGATGGAAATAAAGGGTAGGAAAACAAGATTCTGCAACATTTAACTGGAAAAGTTAATCTTTCAAAGACACACAGAAGGCTTCCCGAAGGAAAAAATGTTTAGATTGAATCAGAGAAGAAAGTATAAACAATACTGAGTTCCTAGATAAGGGAGGGGAGAGGTGGCTAGGATTTGGGCAGAAAAGACAGAAATGAACACAGCCCTTACCGGAAGCTAAAATGAAGATTAGCAGAGGGGCATGAACAGCACAGAAGAAGGAAGCCTCAGATAGGTCATGCACAGTCGTATCGGTTTGGCTTTTATTTTAAACATAGAGTAAAATCATTAAGCTGGGTTCTGCTGTGCTGTTTAGCAGACCAATGTACACTCACTTCTAAAACAGACTCTGGCTTGAATGGAGGGAGAGACTAGAGGAGTTGGGGGTGGATATGGGAAGACTAGGTAGCGGGATAGAGTAGTAATGCCGTGAAATGATGACTATTTGAAGAGTTAATCAGATTGGTTTAGCAGTTCATTAGCAGTGGAGGGAGGCTGAAATCGGGGGTCACCTAGACCTGTGGTAACAGGGCAACACTGGGTCACACGGCCAAGCTTGAGGTAATGTGAGCCAGAAGAAGATATCCCTGATATGTCCCTTTATTCCTGTTTCAGAACCTAATTGGAAGGATAGGGTCTTCTATTCCTGGTTATTATTATTATTACTCAGATAATATTTGTACATTGTAATGGGATACATTATGATAATGCATGTATGAACAAGGTATAATAATCAAACTGGGGAAATAGGCATCTCTTCAAACACTCATTTTTAAGTACTGGTAATTGAATCTTGCTATGCCATTCAGGCTGACATTGAACTTACTGTGTACCCCAGGCTGGCTTTGTCCTACTACTTCAGCCACCCGAGTGCAGGGATCACAGGCATGTGCCACACGCCTGGCTTGTATTGGGAATTTTTTCCTCCTGCTGATGTTGAAATATATCATAGATATTTTAAATAATAGTTACTCCAATGTGTACAGAAAAATGTGCTGGCATGGGGGTGCATGCCTGTAATCTCAGCACTCAAGAGGCTGAGGCAGGAGGATTGCTGCAAATTCAAGGCTACCCTGGGCTATACAGTGAGTTCATGGTCAGCCTGAACTACACATAAGACTCTTCAAAAACAGAGAAACCAGAACTAATTCATCCTCTCTGTATCTTACTGAACTTCTTTCCCTCCCCTACCTCCTGCCCATCCCAGTCTCTAGTGACCACTATTCTACTCCCATTTTGCACAAGATCTACTTTTTAGTCTTTACACATAAATTAGATTATGTGGTGTTTGTCTTATTTGCATAACCTAATGATTTCCGGTTCCATCCAGGTTGCTGCAATGTGGGCAGGATCTTTGGCAGGAACCTGGAAGCTCTGGGGGCTTGTAACACGTTAGAGTGTCAAGAACTAAACAACCCGGAAGAGCTGTTTCACTTGCCAGCCCCGTTCTGAGGAGTGCCACCTCCCAGAGACAGCAGCAGGTTAGTCACCACTCTGGCCTTGGTAAAGACTCAAGAGAGAAGACGGGGAGAGACACGGACAGAGACAGACAGAGAGAAAGAGAGACAGAGGTTGAGGGAATGCAAACGACAACCTGATGCACCAGGACGGAAACGGACGTAGGAGCCTGGGCCGGTTTATTCCTGGGGACCCTAACGTGGCCAACCAGGCATATGTAATGAAGGATCGCAGCAGCTGGCCTTAGAGAAAACAAAAGGATGGTTCTCCTCCCCACTTCCTCAAAACTGAAAACCATGGGCCATATGGCAGCAGCTCCTGAAAACGCAGATAAAACCACGGAGGAAGTGTTTGAGGTGAAAACTCGCAAGCCTGAGCAGCCTCCCTCCCCGCTGTGCCCAGTGAGGTGTGGAATGCAGGGCAGTTCCTGCGCGAAAGAGAGGCTGGGCTGTCTGTGGTCACCGGCGCCGTCACAGCAAATGTGTGACAGAGGTTTAAAAAAGACACTTTATTCGCTCTCTGTGGAAAATCGAGTGTGAAGTAATTTCATACTTTTCCTTGTCGAGTATTTTCAAGGTTACTTCGTAAGTAACAGACATTTGATGATTTCCCCATGATTTTCTCTCAGCCCTATCTTCTAATTTCCTTGGAAGCTTTTTGCTACACGGCTGGTATCAGAGAAGGCAAGATATGCAATCATTTGTGCTATTTCGTATCTTTATAATGACTCCCAACCTGCTATGTCTACATCTGTAAAATGAAGCCATTTTATGTTATTATTAGGCCTTCTTTATTTCCAATTCATAATATTGTTCTCCTGCCTTTCTGTAGGGAAATACTTTCTAAAATCCTCATGATGTGGCAGAATCAAGGACAACCTCAGAGGCGTGGTGCAAGGCTGTTACCAACACCTCCGACCTCTCTTAATGTCTGCTTTAAAATCTTCTCCAAAAGTGTGTTGATGCCATTGATCCCATACTTGAAAACAAATGTACTTTGTTCACGGGCAGTAAAATAGTGTACTTATAGTCAGTCAAGCATATCTTAATCTGTTTTATAACTGACATAATGATAGAGGAAATGGAAAGCATTAAAATATATTGCAAGAGCATAAGGCAGTGACTGTTCTACCTAACCTTGTGGTTCAAATTCTTTTAAATGTACAATCATCAGTGAGAAAGTGCATTTAAATAGAACTAGTTTCACACAATCAAACACATATAAAAATAAAATCTGGAAATGTTATTAGTGCCAAGAAACCAAACAAAATGTATGTACTATCATCAGAATTGTTTTGATACAATGACAATATTGTACCTGATATCATTGAGAACACTCACGTAGCTGGGATTTTGTTTGTTTTTTGAGACAGGGTCTGGCTGGACTTGAACTCACTATGTAGCCCAGACTGGCCCCTTACTAGCAGTAATCCTCCTGCCTCAGCCTCCCTCCCATGTGTTGGAATTATAGGCCTGTACCATCACGACCAGCTTCACATAGCATTTTTTAAGAGTATCTGTTAATGTCCCCCCTTTTTGTTCCGAGCCTGTGACACTCATTATTCAAGTTTTATACTGATGATTACTTGATCTGTGATAGTTTTATAGAAGTTGTCTGTAAAATAACTGGGGAAGAAAAAACAAGATTATAAACATCAGAGCCTATTTTCTGGGTAATACCATGCAGAGGAAGCCTGTGGCAGAACAAAACTGTTTACCTCATGGCCAGGAAACAAAAGAGAGAGGAGGGGGCTGGATCGCCACCATCCACTGAGGTCATGCCACTAAGGAATTTAAAGCCATCTCCCAATGGTGCCACCCTGGGGACAATTTTTTCTTTCTTTATTTTTTTTTTGAGACGGGGTCTCACTATGTAGTTCAGACTGCCCTGGAACTCACTATGTAGCCCAGGCTGGTCTCGAACTCACAGCGATCCTCCTGTCTCGGCCTCCTGAGGGCTAGGATTAGTCTGTTTTTAAAAAGTAGCTCACCAACTAAACATTACCAAGTTCTGGACTGCTCACCTCTCCTTCTAGAGTTGGATTCCAAGTTCTTCTCACCTCAAAGAATTGAATGAAATGAGCAAAAAGCAATGGCGAAGTTTATTCAAGAAAGCAAAAACTGAAGAATGGGAAAGAAACTGACTCTGCAGAGTGATCTTGGACTGAGTAAACAGAAGAAGAGGGTGAGAGCAGAAATAAAAGTACACGCCGCATCTGGGAAACAGCTCGGGCTACCATAGAAAGTCAATGGTAACAAAGCCCTCAGGACGTCAGTGTGTTCTTTTATGATATTTAAATCTCAGGGAAACCCGAGAGCCCTTCCACATCCCAGTCCTGAGAGGCTGTGCTAGGTTCCCAGGCCTCCCACTGACCTCAGATCTAGGCATCGTCCTGGAAACCTGCTGAAATTTTCCAGAGAAGTCCATATGCAGGACTTTGACACTGTTCTGCGCATGTGTTGGGGATTTCCTGATTAAAAATCCTCGCCTACTTCCCCAGCCAGTTCTTACCGAGCCCTAATCTCCTATCTCCCTGGAATCTGAGTGCTCAGATCATTGTGTTTAAGATAAAGCGTGAGGATGAACCAAAGGGAGCGTTCAGCAGAACACGCCACACATGATGGACGGAGCAGAGTGCAGTTCGAAAAAGGGATTAAGGCACCCAGGCGGAAGGACAGTGGTGTT